AAAAGACATTGGCTAAATAAAAATTCATCTAAGAACTGGAGTTTTAGTGGATGAAATGGTCAATATGAACCAAAAGCATGATATGGCAGCTGAGAAAAGCAAATTCAACCAGAAGCTGGATTGAGAGAGGCTTAATGCTTAGAATGAAAAGTTGATCATCCAGTTTTGCTCTGGACTATAAAAAGTCTGCATAAAATTGGAAGGAAATGAATTAAGTCTTTTCATAACTCTATGTAGGTGAAAATTTCTTCACCAGAGAAAATTATTCAATAGAGAAAATAGGTAAAGAAGCTGAGAAAGGTTTTTTACATTAAAACAATTAATGGAACCAAGATAAAAAGAGAAATTGTAGATTGGGGTAAATCTTTTTATCAAATTTTCTTCTAAGAAGCCATCCAAAACATATAGAAAAACAATATAAATATGTGAGACTAAGAATCATTTCCTAACGGATGAGTGGTCAAAAGAGTTCGCAAAAGAAGATTTGCAGGCTATAACAACCATATGAAAGACTGTTCTAAATCACTAAAAAAGAGATTAAGACAGGATTGGGGGGTCAACCTGTGGTTTCATTAACATAGGAGATTCCTAGCTGAAGAAACTCCCTCAGTCAATGTTGGTCAGCAGCTTCTCTGCAACTTCTGGTCTCAGAGAATTGCCTAAAGCCCTGGGAGATATATGACATAGTCTAGGGACACACAGCTAGCCTGTGTCAGAGGCCAGATGTAAACCCATGCAAATAAAAGAATTGCAAATTAAAATATTTTTGAAGTTTCACCTCATACCCAACAAATTGGAATGATAACATGGCTTTCAGTGGAAAGGTTACTGTGGCATAGTGAATTGAAAATAAGCATTAGATATGGAGGCAGCTAGACTCAGTGAATAGAGCATGGGCGGGGAGTCAGGAAGACCTGAATTCAGATCCAGCTTCAGACACTCACTAGCTGTACTACTCTAGCAAGTCACTTAACCTCTGTTTCCCTTATTCCATTGGAGAAGGAAATGGCAAAGCACTGTGGGCAGCTAGGTGGTGCAGTGGATAAAGAGCCAGCCCTGGAGTCAGGAGACCTGAATGCAAATCCAACCTTAGATACTTACTAGCTGTGTGACCTTGGACAAACCCTTGTTTGCCTCCATTTCCTCTTCTATAAAATCAGCTGGAGAAGGAAATGACAAACCACTCCTGTATACTTGCCAAGAAAACTTCAAAAGGAGTCACAAAGAGTCAGACATAACTGAAAATGACTAAACAACATTAGATACGGAGTCTCGTGACTAGACTTCTGTTCTAGTTCTGCTACTTACCATAGATATGGCCTTAGGTAAATGACTTTATTTCACTGGACCTCATTTTCCTCATCTATAATATGTGGGGTACATAAGACAGCACTTGATAATTTCAGAGGAGATTGTTATTACTGAACACAAGATACATAAATTAAAAATCCTTTTTTCTTCCTCTCAATCTATACCAGAAAGGGATGTTTCCTCCCTCATACTAACACATTTCTCAAGTACAATTTGAGATTTGGGGTCTTTTTGTTTGTTTGTTTGTTTGTTTGTTTGTGTTTTAATGTAAAACTGCTCATGCCCAAGGGCTTTGAAGTGATCTACCATGACATGTAATGGGGAAACTGACTCTCCTTTTCACTAATTTACATGCATGTTTTCTCTTCATAAATCAAGAGGAAAGAGGTTTCACCTCTAACAGGAGTGACTGAAGTTGGGTAAGAAAATAAATGTCTGAATATAATGGTTTCAATAGTTGTGATATCCTGAAATTGACTACTCAGGGCAACACTGGGTACTTCTTCTTTAGAGAGCTTTGAAAACAGAAATGCTCTTTCTATCATCCTCCAATACCTTTGGTGCATTGCTATCTAGAACTAAAATTATGTATGAAATAAAATTTTCTGAACTAAGATAAATTATTCAATTTAACTCCCTTTCCCCACCATCTCAGATCCAATCAGTTTCAAGGACTTGCAAGGAGAAAGCTCAATTCTATTAAATCTCACTGTTCCATGTTTAATTTTTTAATTGTTGATTTAAATATGAGTGCATTGAGGATAATGGGTAGCTAAAAGCAGAAAATACAAGCGTATTGTAAGTTGAGATTATTGAGATTTTGCCAACAGTAAAGAATAGTCTATTGGGATCTGGGGTAAAAATAAATCTGTAGTTATAATGAAGGAGAAAGATAGCATCCTTAAACTTATTAGGCAAATGTAGGCAGAGGTGACATTTCTGACTAATTATATAATTGTGGTCTTTAAATGAAGAAAATATTGGAGTCAAGTAACTAAGTTAGTTCAAGAGTCACCTCTGTCCATGAAGAATTCCCCAGTTGAAAGTGCCCCTCTCTTGTCAAACGTTCTTAGAGTATTTTATCTGTATGTCTTCTCTTTTGCCACATTATATTTTATATAATACTTCTAAACAAGTAGGGTCCTTAAATGCAGGTGTTGTTTTTCATTTGTTTGTATCCTCAGCACCTAACATAGTACCTTGCACGTAAACATTAATATTTATTGTTTTAAAAATAACTATAGAGCCAGTGTGCAGTAATGGAAAAAGCTGAGGGTTGAGTGTAAGGTGCCACTCTGACACTGAAGAAAATAGAAATCCTGAGTCAGTCTTTTAACTCTCTCTAGGGCTTATTTTTTTTAATTATCTATAAGATGAGGTGATTGGATTGGTTGATTTCTAAGCTCTAGTAGTTTGTGAGTCTATAAGTAGGATATAGCTCATCATAAACTCTTCTGACAAAATAATCTATGTAATCCTGTTGAAGCTGCTCAGAAATACAAATTTAAAGACTAGGATAAATAAATGCAAGTCTTCTTTAAGAGTTAAAAATTGTTTTATCTTTTCTCTACTTTGTAACACTCACTGAATTCATTTCAGAGTAAAAAACTTAGAGCTACTAAACTAGGTAAAATTTATATAGCATGTTAAAGCTTTAAAAAACTGCTTTATATGTATTGTTTCTTTTGATCTTCACAATAACCTTGTGAAATAGATGCTATTATTGTCCTCATTTCACAGGTAAAGAAATTGAGGCTTGGAGAGGTCATTTGCCTAGGATCAGTGTCTGAGACAGAATTCAAATTCTGGTGTTCCTGATTCCATGTCTAAGGCTCTGTGCACTACACTAAACTGGACTGGATATAAAGGGGCATCTAGCACTTAGAACAGAGTTTTACAAATGTGTGTGTGTGGGGGAAGGACTTTAACTTAATGGAATGGGGTAGAAAAGCCTTTATTAAGCACTTACCATAAGCCAAGCACTGAGGACACCAAGGAAAAAAAAAAACCTAACATGGCAGTCCCCATTCTCAAGAAGCTCACTTTCTAATTAGTCAAGACAACTCATCTAAAAGGTTTTACCTTAAGAGCAGATATAAAGGTCATGTGGTCCTTAGAGCACAACAGCAATGAAAATGGCAATACCCCTGAGTTCACTGGACATAGCAATATGGAAAAAGGTAAGGCCATGTTTATGGCAGTATAGATGGTAATGCCCAATGGTCTACCATCTTTCCAGAAGTATGGTAGTTAGTAGTTCATTAAAGCAGTGTGAACAGTCATATCCCCAACCAGCCACTGTTGCGTAGAGGCCTGTGATTTATAGTTAAACAGAGCTTTGGGTTGCCTCCTTTGATGGTGAGGGTAGAGATGATGAGATCAGCATCTAGCTGGGAATTGGCATCCAGAATTTGGCTGGAACTGGACAGTGGAGATGCAGATCAGGAAGAGAAAAGACACATAGTAGGTGTTTACTAAATGTTCAGGTAGTAAAACACCTTTGCCTTCTCTCCATATAGGGATGTGGGGTGCAGCATAAGAGTAAAATATTGACTACATCATCAGATAAATATTTAACACAGTTCCTGGCACATAGGAGGTACTTAATAAATGTTGATTGATTGGTTGACTGATTGTTCATCAGTTTTGCTTACTGGTTTTTCTTTGTTAAAATGAGAGTTCAATGGGGGAATTTTATTAAGAAACACCTTTGGTATAAAAAATAAAAAGCATCAATAAAGCATTAATAACCCTACTACACACAACAAATGCTCATTGAATCTAGGCTGACCCTGTCATTTTATAGAAGAGAAGCCTGAGATGTGGAGTGGTTGCAAGTCAATTGGTTGACTTGACTTATGTCATGGACAGCAAGTATTAGACCTGGCATCTGAATTTAAATCTTCTGATTCCAGAGATACCGTTCTATCTAATAGTGTAAAACATTGACCTCTAGCCAAAGTGAGTTTAATTTTATTTATCATTATATATATGTAAATATATATAGTTCCTCTCTTGATTATAAAACAGATTTAACATATGATATTTGTGTTCTTATAGCTTTCAGTTTATCCAGATTTGCAATTGCAAGAACCCCTGTGTTGCTAACTAGCTGGCACCATTTCACATCTGACGGCAATAAGAGGACAATAATGGCGATGAGGAGGAGGAAGAGAAGGAGGACAAGTGGCATATAGTTCTTTTGAAGTTTTCAAATTGCTTTGCATACATTGTTTCATTTGATCCTCAGAACTGCATGTAGCAGATGTTAATGGTTTTATCCTTATATTACAGACGGGGAAACTAAGTTCATAGAAGGTAAATAACTTGTGCATGGTGACATAGTAAGCATCAGAAATTGGATTGATCACAGGTTGTCTTCATAGCAAGTATACTACTAAGTCATGTTACTTTCTAATATGAAGGCTAAAGTAAAACTCCTAGCTAGGCTTTTAAAAGTTTCTTTAAGAATTGCCACGGTCCTTCCCAAAACAAAGAGTTGAGCACATCATACCTATGAAGCAAATTGACCAGTGTCCTCTCCCTTTCACCTCCTTAAGTCTTTGTACACACTAACTTTATTCTATATTCTAGCAGATCAAGCCAATAATATGGCATTCCCCAGTATGTTGCAGTTTTTACAACTATATATTCTCCCCATGAATAAATAGATTTTCTGCACGAAATTACTAGAGGGCGTGGTGGTAATGAATGAATCCCAACTGAAGATATGCTGAGTGACATTCATTTTTCATTCTACTCTACAAATAAACTGCCTATTCACCAACTTCCTCATAGAGGCCTTCACTTCCTGGTTTCTCAGGGTATAAATCACAGGATTCAGCAAGGGAAAGATGACAGTGTGAAAAAGGGCAACCACTTTATCAGCTGGGAAGGACCTAAAAGGGCGGGTATAAATAAAGATGGCAGGTCCAAACATTAGAAACACAATGATAACATGGGTAGTACAAGTGGACAAAGCCTTGCTCTTCCCCTCAGAAGAAGATCCCCTAACCCTAAACAGGATGACTGCATAGGATGTCAGTAAACCCAGGAAGCATAGCAGAGTGAGCAGTCCACTGTTGGACACCATTAGGAGTTCCACCACAAAGGTGTCAGTGCAGGCCAGTTTGATGATCTGTGGGACATCACAGAAGAAGTTGTCCAGCTGGTTGGGGCCACAGAAAGGCAGGCAGATAATGAGAGCCACCTGCACAATAGAGTGGGCAAAACCCCCAACCCACAAGGCTAGCAACAGCACATAGCATACCTGGTGGTTCATGATGGCAGCATAGCGTAAGGGTTGGCAGATTGCAATATAGCGGTCAAAGGCCATCACCACAAGGAGGAACATCTCACCTACTCCAAGGAAATGCAAAAAGAAGAGCTGGGTGATGCACCCTTGATAAGAAATGTTCTTCTTCTCATACAAGAAATCTACCAGCATCTTGGGGGCTACAATGAAAGAATAAGAAGCATCCAAGAAAGCCAGGTTGCCCAGGAAGAAATATAGGGGTGCTGTGAGAGCAGGATCTGATCTGATGGTGATGATAATGAGAAGATTCCCAGGAAGAACGATCATGTAGAATGAGAGGATCAGTACAAAAACCAAAAGTTGTACCTCTTGAGATTGAGTTAGACCCAGAAGAATGAATTCAGTCACTGTGTTGTTCTCCAGCTCCATCTACCCAACCTGGAGAACATTGAGTGATGAAAAGCTATTATTGTTAATTCATACCCTTTCCCCCATACTATAGCTTTTCTCTAATAATAAATAGTATTTTAATGAGAGTGATATTCTAGGTATCATATAGGAAGCCTGTTTTACCACCCTGGATCCCAGCTCTGGTAAATTCCTCTGTTCTTTGTTTCTAGACAGAACTGGAAACAATGTGTGAAGCTGTAGAAAGGCAGTCAGTCAAAAAGCATTTATTAGATACCTATTATGTAGCAGGCACTGTGCTAAGCACAGGAGATATAAAGAAAGATAAGAGACAGTCCTTGTTCTCAAGAAGCTTACGGTCTAATGGAGAAGACAACATGTAAACAAATATGCACAAAATATATACCTAATAATTGAAGGTAATGAACAGAGGGAAGACATTAGCATTAAAAGGAATCAGGAGAGGCATCTTGCAGAAGGAGAGATCTTAGCTGACCCTTAAAGAAAACCAGAAGAGAGTTCTAGGCATGGGAGAAGAGCAAGTGAGAATGGCCAGAGTAGGGAAATGGAGAATCCAGTGTGAAGAACAGTAAGCAAAGGGGCAACTAGGTGGCACAGTGGACAGAGCACCAGCCCGGTAGACAGGAGGACCTGAGTTCAAATCCAGCCTCAGACACATAACACTTACTAGCTGTGTGACCCTGGGCAAGTCACTTAACCCCGATTGTCTCACCAAAAAAAAAAAAAAGTACATAATCCTACTTAAAAAAAAAATTTAAGAAATAGCAAGCAGGCCAGAAGCACTGGTTTGAAAAGCACATGGGAAGATATAAAGACTAAGAAATCTGGAAAGGCAGGAAGGGGCCATGGTAAGAAGGGCTTTAAGAGCCAAATAAAGAATTTTCAACCAAAGGAATGTTTATAATTGTTATTTATTATTATTATGGTTTTTCTTGTTATCTTAACGCAATGATAGCTAATGTTTATATAGTGCTTTTGAGATTTGCGAAATGCTTTACAGGTATTATTTTATCCTCATAACAACACAGGAAGACAGGTTTTGTTCTTATCCCCATTATATATATAAAGAAACAGGTAAAGAGAATGTTTAAGTGACTTGCCTAGGGTCACACAGATAATGTGTTTGAGGCAAGATTTGGACAGACATCTTCCTGACTCCAAATTGAACACTATCCACTGCACCCCCTAGCTGCACCTAACATTTAGAATTGTCCAATAGTGGAATAGCTTTTTGGTTTTGTTTTAATTTCTTGTTTTGTTTTGTTGTATGAAAAGTCAATGTCTTCCTTCACTTCAGTCTTTTAGCAATAACTGTATATTCACTTTTTAGAGTTGTAGTAGAAGGGGTTCCTGATTGGGTACCAATTAGAATAGATGACTTATAAGCCTCCTTCAAACTCTGACATTCAGTGATTGCACCCACCACTACCACTACCATATACCTTATCAGAATCTGCCTTTCTCTATGTCCATCACTTCCCTTTCATGAGCTGTATTTCCTCACCTTTCTCAACTTGTACTTTGGGAACCCCAAACTTTGGCACCTGCAGAGCACAAGCTTCCCGATAAATACAAACTTGCTTCAGTTATTAAGATCAATTAGTTATCAGCGCCTTTTAACTGCTGCTCATATATAGTATACCTAGATTCTGCTTTCCTTCCTAGTCTCAGATTCCTAAATTTTGTGTTTGGATCCTTGACTCCCTGTCATGGCTTACTTTTTAGTATATGTCCAGTCTCCTTGGATCCTAACTATCTGCCTAAACTTTTTACTGAGTGAAAGGATATAGTTTCAAATTTCACTTCTCCGTTGTATTTGTATGGCCTTGGACAAGTCACTTAATCTCTGGACTGAAGTTTCCTCATATGTAAAATTTAATGGTTAAACTGAGGCACCTGGAAGGTCTCTTCTAGCTCTAAATTCTATTTTCTTAGGTCCTATTTTAACAATAATGTGTAATAATACGCAGAACCCATAGAAGATATGAGTCCAAGATTAACTCCACAATTATGCCTCCACCAAAGTAATGTGCTTTGATCAAGTCACTTCAGTTCAAAGACTCTCTGCTCCCAGCTAAATGGTCTACAAACTCAATAAATGTAAGATGTACTGCTCTATCCTTTATCTTCTTCTCAGATAGTCTATCCCATGCTTAATCTCTCTAGGCCTTAATTTCTTCATCTGTAAAATGCATATACATCCTACTTCATAGAGTCTTTTTTGAGGGCCAAATGAATAGATGAATATATGCAGATTAGTAATGGAAAGTCAAAACTTTTGTGCCTTCATTCCCCTTTCTTAATTTTGCTCAGGATAAAGACTACAAACTCTGCCACTCTACCCTTCTAATGCTAAGATTTTTCAGTTTCATAAAGCAGATAGAAGAGAGACAGAAAGACAGACAGACAGAGAGAAAGAGAGAGAGGCAGACAGACAGATGTAAAGACAGACAAAGAGACCACTTATTAAGCATGGACTATGTGCCAAACGCTGATCTAAGTGCTAAGGATATAAAACACAAGCAAATGAAGACAGTCCCTGATATCTAGCAGCTTACACTCTTGTGGAGGAAGATAACACATAAAGGTGTTCTAGAAAGAGAATTGAGAAGCGAGGAAGGAGAATAACTTCATAGGGCCATGGTGAAGAGGGCGTCTGTAAGTATCTTGGACATCTGGGTACCTCAAGTTAAGGTGAAAGGTTGCCTCTCAGAACCAGAGGGCCCAGTCATAGGATCTAAGGTTTTAGTGGGGTGGAGATGGTCAAAGACTAGGACCATGGAGACAGATGTCTCAGCTTAAACTGATCACTATAACCCTAGCTACTACTCTAATTAATGGTTAATCTTTCATATGAATGGTTTAAAAGTAGAAATAGTATTCTGTTCTAGGTTTAGAAAATAACTTTCCCAAAACAAGAGGAGCCCAAGTCATTGTGGGAACAGTTAGACTTCAGGTGCATACCAAAATGACTTTGATATATGTATTAAACAGCCTTTAGCAGACAAAGTACTGCTCATGCTGTTCCATGCTATTCCATGATGGCAGCTTTAAATGTTCTGTGGAACATGAGAAAGAAAGAAGGGATTAGGACCCCAAAGATCAATGTTGGAAAATGACAGTGGAGTGTGGAGAAAGGAGAGAGAAATTAGAAATAATTCCTTGGAAATATTCATAAAATACAGGCATTCCAATACATAATGTTTTGTGAAATCTTTAATGATAACCAACATTTGTGAGGCAGCATGGCACAGTGAATTCATACTGGCCTTGGAGTTAGAAAGACATTTTCAAGTCCTGTCTCTGCCACATACCAACTGTGTGACCAAGTTATAAACTTTTTGTTGCCCCGGGCAACTTTTTAAGACTATAAGCTAAAAAGAAATTAATAATCTATATTGGTAGAAGGATTTTCCACACTGGGAGTTCTCCCAGTGGGCATCATAGACCTAGAACTGAAAGGGATCATAAGATCATAGACTTAGAGTCAGAAAAGAACTTGATGTTCTTTATTACAATAGCCTCACTTTGTAAGTTCTAAAAATGAGGCTTTTATGACTTTCCAGGATTTCATAGGCATGAAGTGTCAGAAGTGAGATTTGAAACCAGGTTCTCTGGCCACAAAATTGACATGCTTTCCATTTTACCACATCACCTCTAGAATTGTTACAACCCCTTTGTTTTACTGCTGAGGAAACTGAGACTTAAAGAGTTTGATTGAACTGACAGTGGGCGAAAGAAAGAAAGAAAGAGAGAGAGAGAGAGAGAGAGAGAGAGAGAGAGAGAGAGAGAGAGTGAGAGAAAGGAAGGAAAGAAGGAAGAAAGAGAGAGAGAAAGAAAGAAGAAAGAGAGAGAGAGAAAGGGAGAGAGGAAGGAAGGAAACAGGGAGGGAAGGAAGGAAGGAAGGAAAACAAGGGAAGGGAAGGGAAGGGAAGGGAAGGGAAGGGAAGGGAAGGGAAGGGAAGGGAAGGGAAGGGAAGGGAAGGGAAGGGAAGGGAAGGGAAGGGAAGGGAAGGGAAGGGAAGGGAAGGGAAGGGAAGGGAAGGGAAGGGAAGGGAAGGGAAGGGAAGGGAAGGAAAAACAAAATGTTCAATATCATATGTTATTGAACAATAGAATATCAGACCCAGAGTATGTCTGATCAACTCTACTATTTTACTGATAAAGAAACTGAAGTTGAATATGTCTCTGAAGAGGGTGGAAACTGAAACATTATGAGGGTGAAAACTAATTTCTGCCACTCTACCCTTTATCCATCCCTATTTTCCTATCTACTTTTTAAATTTCTATTGGCTTTACTCTCTTTTTGATTCTCTTGTCTTCTTCCATTCACATATCTTTACTTTATTCTGTGACTGTGGGTCTCAAATAGTGGTCAACAGAGCTCTCTATCCATTTAGAAAGCAAGGATAGGCATATTGTAGACAGTTGTTACACACAGACAAATATACAACTACTTAGTTATCAAGTGGAACTGGTCCTTGCAATGTGGTCTCAAAGGTGATGAGGCAAGCTCAAACTCCCCTATCCCCAGGTCTACTTCCCAGGTGGAGGCTATCCTTCTGCCCTGGGTCAATTAGGGAGGGGGGAGGTTTTCAGTGGTCATAGGAGAAGAAAACCTACAAATTTGCTGCTGCTACTGCTATGTATGACTGGTACCATTTTTACTATCAGCATTTTTTATTATGCTGTTCTTAACCTGGAGACTGTGAACTTTTTTAAAATTATTTTTATAATAGTACTTCAATAATTGGATTCTTTTGTAATTCCATTTATTTTATTTAGTGCATTTTTTTTTTGGTAGGGGGAAGCAATTGGAGTTAAGTGATTTGCGCAATGTTGCACAGATAATAAGTGTCTGAGCAAGATCTGAATTCAGGTCTTCCTGACTCCAGATTGTTTTTAATTTGGTGCATTTTAAAACATTTTTCTGAAATGGGGTCCATATCCAATGGCCAAAGTGGCGCATGACATACACAAAAAAGGTTAAGAACCATTTA